AACTTTGAAATGTCGTTTTTGATCAACGATTATTTCAAGTATAAAAGCTATATCAAAGCACATCAACCTAATTATTTCTTCCATGTGTGTCTCACTCTTCACCTTTTGTTACGCAAAGCATGGAGGCCTACCTCGTAGAACTCTTTCAGGTACGACTCGAAGAAGTTAGGTACTCAAATTTTGACGTCGTCGCGGTTATTGAATTTATTTGCTGCTAAGGAGTGCTGCATTGACCTGGGTCAGTGATAGTTGGACGGCGCCAGTCTGAGCTATATGGCGCGAGAGGTAGAACGTTCTAGCCCAACTCCTCGATTTTTTGTTGCGTGATTTTCGCGACATGTGATCCTGCGTTATCGTACCATAGTTTTATGACGGCCGAATTCACCACTTAAAGGCAAACTCGGTAATTAAACAGGTGCTATCAGCGCTTTGTAGTGATAGCTTAGCTGCGGAACGACCTGAAAGTGGAAAGGAAAGCAAGAGAAATCTTTGGGAACGCTGAAATTAAGGCCTTAACCTTCAACAGGGTCGGATGTGGTACGATGGCGAGAAAGGGCGGTCAAAGAAGACAAAATACGCGAGAGAGCACGTCGTTTGAGAGAGCACGCTGATCTCTACATCAATGCACGCTGATCTCACCACCTCTCGCGGTGGGTGGGAAGCGTTGGAACGGGGTCGATGGTTGCAGGCCCGTAAGGATTAGCGCCCTAACCGCGCAATTTTTGCGACGAAGCTGGAGTGATCTAGGTAGGTACGGACCTTACAATTTCCCTCGTGGTATCCCTCCTACTAGTCGGGCTAATCCCGGGGTTTGCCTTTAAGTACGCAGCGCTTTGTCCACGCGGGCTGGCTGTTGTGCGTAAGGTTCAGCTGTAACTGTCTGACCAACAATCAGTATCCCATAGTAAGCCAGTCCTGTACTATCTCACCACACAGTAGCAAGATTACTTCGTGGATGTTTGGTCTTAGAGCCACCCTCATCTATCCATCAACTGCCAACCACAGCCATCTTCTCACTTTGTTATCGGGGAACATCCTCTTTGTAAAACACGCTTCAACGAAGTCGAAAGCCTTCTTTTTTTGGAGTTATGAACAGAGTTCCAGTATTGGCAACCAGTACGTGCTCGATTAGCTCACAATAGGCCGAACCCATTTTCTATCCTGCGCACATAGAAACTTTTAAATTTTACTGTTGACAAAGCCAAATCTCCCTACGAGTTTCTGTGCAGTTTGGCGAGGGCTCAATTCGTTGGCTTTCTTTAATTCTTCATTTCTACAGGTAGAGGTCAATATTCGTGCTCTTCGCCCTAAGTAAGTCCTTTACCTCAGTCTTGGAAGAGCTGAAACCATAGCTGGAAGTGCATCAGAGACTAAGTGTTGCTGCTCAATGTTTTGCACACAATGAGTGGAGATTCGTTGGCCGTTTTTCCTTGCTTGAATATATACGCTCAGACGATGTTTTCTGATCAATCATCTTCGAGCAAAAGTTTTGGCTCGAAGAACATCCGCTCAGTGGCGCCTTTTCGCAATATGCGCACTGAATCGCTCTCTCGAATGAATGGTCTCCCATATTACGAGGTTGTGTTTGTAGCTGAGAAACAAAGACACAAAAGGAGGCGACATTTCAAAGTTGCCAAC